CAACACAGTGTCCAGGGACATGTTCACAACTGAGCATTTCTGTCCTGGCTGCCGTTAGCTTGCTAGCAGTGCTGTAGCCAAGCACGCTGATACTCCAACTTGGTATTTTCTGTACAGTTGGGGGCAAACGGGAAAGAGAGAGGAATGGTTTTATTCTGCTCAGTTACTTGGGCCAGGACATTGGTTGGCTTGGATTGCATCAGGAGCCTGCTAGATCCTTGTCTCTTCAGCAAACTGCCCATGCCAATATGGCATAAAGTTCTTTGAAAATGAAGATGTACCGAAGCTGCACCTATCTTTACAACTGTAGCAGATCTCTATTCAATCAAAGTCCTTTTCAGAGGGAGTAGTATTTTGAATGTCTGCCTCTACCAATTTTGTGTGTAGCATCCTTGAAGCAAAACCTTGTAAAGGAACAACCTGGTATAAACTGCTAATGCAGAGGTGTAAGAAAGACAAGAGTCGTCAATGACTCCTTCAGTGTTAAAATGAGAGGATTAGAACTGCAGAGGTTTCACTAGGTGCTTTCTGAGAGAGCTGTGGGGCTTTTAAAGGCTGTTCCCAACATTGGGTTTCAACAAAACCTGAATAAACCTATTAAAGACTTCATTCAAGAAGGGTGAAAGAAAAAGGTAGTTGTAATGCAATAGTAGAGGTTCTGCAATAAGTCTCCTTTCCCCTCCCCTTGCCAAAAGCCTCTTCACTGGCAAATAGCAGATCTGTGTTAGCTTCAGCTGTAGTGTGTCTGATCATGCCGTAGTATGTGGCACTGAACAACTGCAGTTCAGTCATACTTTGGAAGACGGTAGTTTAAAATTCACACTACAGGAACACATAGTGATTATCGTTACTCCGTTTCTCTCTCTTTCTCAGTACTTCGCAGTCGAAATCCTGCACCTCTTTGCAGTACAGATAAAGTGACCCTCATGTATTTTATAGTTTGTGTTTGATTTAATTACTTCTGGGATCTTTAAGAGTATTGTGGCACTTTGTCATTAGCCAAACCTTTCTAGTGTTTCACCATTTCCTTGCATATTGTGTGTTGGTAGTTGCCACAGGTTAGGGTTGGACTGGACACTAATGAATGACAGATGCTCTCTATTGACCCCTCTCCCTCCCCAGAAGGGGAAGGGAGAGAGCATAAGGGAAGAGAGGCTTATGGATTGGAAAAGAAAACTAAAACAGCTTTAATGAAACAATAACAATAGTAAGAAAAAATAAATAATAAGAACATAATAAAATATATACAAATATATCGATATACCAAACCAATACCAAACCCAACCCCCTCGATGACGATACATCACCACTAATGCTGCAGGGCTGGCACTGAGGCCGTCCCAGGCTGGATTCGACAGCAGACGGCATGCAGGAGCTGGATTCAGGAATGCATGGGTCGGGATGGCAGACAGAAGAACGTACGCAGTCCTCCTTGGATGTCGGCCGTCAAAGAAGAAGAATTAACCGTCCATGATCTCTCAGCTTTGTACTGAATATGATACGTATGGGATGGAATGCTCTCTTGGTCAGTTTTGGGTCACCTGTCTGGCTCGCTTCTCCCTGCAGGTGCGACCTTTCACTTCACTCTGACCCTTTCTCACTTCTGGCACCTCAACACGGGATACAGAATGTAGCAGTGACCTTGGTGGCTTACAGGAGCAAGTATAAGCAAGGGCCTTTCTGCATACCATTCCTCAGTATTAACTACAAACATCAAGCGTTATCAGTGCTAGAAGCAGTCACTGTCTGGAAAAACATGCTGCTGTTTTTCAGAAAGTGCAGTTACTTAGAAGAGACTTAACTGAAAAGTAAAATCACTGAACAGAATTACTTCTGTTTTAGCTCAAACCAGGACAGTAGTTGAGCTACTTGGCATTTGTATTGCCATGTGTAATGTGTATTTGAGTCATATCGCAGTTGGAAATGGAAAGCACTTTATAAATACCCTCTTGCTGTCTTTATGCATGTGGACTCTTTTCCAAAAATATTTATGAATGATTCCCTAACTTTCAGAGTACTCCTGTCGGGCAAAAGTAGAGAAAATATGCACAAAGCTATTCTCTGTCTGTTGTGCGGGTATTTTTTCCCCTCTTGGTGTGATAAATGATAAAAGACAGTTTGTAAAGTCAGCCCCTGGCTCTGTAAGGTGCATCTTGTCTGGTAGGATGGTCAGGTTAGATGTCAGAGTATGTACAATGATAACGAATAATGTACAGAGGATTTTTTCCTTCTAGTTAATGTAGCTTTAAAAGTATAAAGGAGTCAGAGTGAATATTTTTGTGTGTGGCAGAACATCCCTTTGGAACATACTTTCAGCATTTAATATGATCCTATTTATTGGCCATTTTTGAGTCACATATTTTTAGCACCTATGTGCAACTAGTTTCTGATACTTTTGTCTTAGCATGCTGTCAAGAAAAAGATATAAGTACTTGGAGATCTAGGGGAAAAGTGCTGGTTCCATTGAAATTGCTGGAAGCTTTGTCATTCCTTCAAGTAGTCAAGGTGACGCTGTGTTCTTGCAGAGCGCTTCTCTTGCGTCTGCTGCTTGTTCCTTATTTGCAATGCCAGAAATGCTTCATTATTTTCCTCCCTTTTTTCTGTGCCTTTCTAAGATCTCTAACAATTTCTGTAATACTGTGTCCTAATTTTTGCATTGTTTTCCCAAGGTGACATGGTGACCATAACGTAGGTGGCCCTCCTCAGTGGCTCCTAGTGCTACCTCCCATGTTGTGTTTTCTTTCATAGCTGTTCTGCTGTTGCCAAAGTTCTATTCATCTGTCACCCTGTATCAGTTTTCTGATTTGTTGTCCAGTAATTTATGACTATTTGGAGCTTTGCAACTCATTACAGTGCCCAGTGACCCTTGTGACCCTCTTCCACATGTACTCTCTGCCACCTTGGCCCCATGGCCAGTTTGTTGATGCTGCAAGTTGCAGTGCATATGTCTATGCCAAGCCATGCAGGCTGAGAACCAGGGTCTTTGTTTGACCAACTAATACCAAGTATCTAGAATATAGGCAGCAAGAAGCTGATTGTGCCAGTAAACAGATGCTGAGGGTAAGGTTTGTATGTTTTCTCTGACTATGTAGGTAGTGAGGTGTTGCTTACACAGTGATGAGCAAGAGAGAACAGTCTAAATAGGTATACTGCAGCTTGAGAAGAATATTGTAAATAAAATACTGAGTAAGTGGCTTTACCTGGAACCCAGTGGAATTCCCCCCAGTCACCAGCACTCACTTTTCCCAAGGGGGGGACTTTATCCTGCTGGGCGTAAATACCAACTGAAATACACTGCCAAGCAGGAGCATGGGCTGGTGCCCTGGGCAGTTAGTGGTGGTGGTACTCATGAAGGCACATGCTTTCTTTGTTCAGTGCTTTTGGTTGTACTTTGTATGTACCAATTAGGAAGGTAAGTTATGATTTTTTTCCCTTCCATCTTTTCACCACCTGGGAGTTATGTTTAAGATATGAAAGATTGTGAGCACTGGGGGAAGGGGGAGAAGAAGCAGGAAGGGAGAAGGGAGTTGTTTTCTTTCTGACAGCTTTAACTATAACTGATAGTGGGAACTTGTTAATTTTTTAAATCATGATTGATTCGATGTTTGTTTTCCGTAGCATAGATCTTTGGTACGGGATTACAATGCCAATTGTATAAAATACATATATCTGTAAAATACAGCTTCATGTACCTGCATGTACAAGCCTATAAAATAAAACAAGAAAATAAATATGCAATAAGTTCTTCAGCTTCGGTCATTTATTTTTGAAAAAAGGACTGTAACTTCCCAAAATACATCCCTTCCTTGATGCAATAGTAAAAGGATCCAGCATTGTACTTCCTTCTTAGAATTTCTGGGGAAATGCATTTTACTGCCAACGTAACATCCTTTAACAGGTCTCCTGCTGGTCAGACCTTGTGTCCTGCTGTGACAGCCATGACCGTGTGTACAACTGATTGTTAGTGGGCAATATAAGTCTGATTGGAACATGCCCGTTAATTGGTTTGAGAGCGCGATATAGACAATGCTGTCTTATAGCAGATTGTGTAGATAGGCCTAGTCATAGGGTTAATTCTGCTTGACAGCACATCAGCAGCATCTTGAGAGTAATTACCCAACTTAAGTTTTCCCACAGTTGAATTGAGATCTTCAAAGGCTTCTACATTTACAAGTATTATTAACCTATATCTGAAACATGATGTTCCCACAAGGGCTAATTTTTTCTTCCTTTTATTAAATATACAGGTTATAGGGTTCATTTGCTAAGTGCTAAGCCCTTAGAAGAAAACACTACTTGTTAGAGAGAGAAAAATCTGCAGTGCTCGACCAAAGCTAATGGTGCATAATGCACACATCATTGTCTTTTTGCGGAGACTTTAAAATAAGTTAAAATTTAGATCTGGTTCCCTTCCTCTGTCCCTCTCTCCCACCCCCCGCTTTCCACTTTTAAGAAAATCAAACCGCTTATTCCTATGTGCAGAGTGAGTAAATTGAAGACACACACAAACAAAACCCTCCTAGGATGTTGTACAATTAAGTACAGATCATTGGATACAATACATATGACATTAATGAAACGGTATCTGCTTCAAAAATAGATTGGAAACATTCATGAATAAATTAAATCCTCTTAATGACTTTTCAAAAATGAAAATGAATGAAAACAATATTTATTTCATAGGAACAACTGTGTGCCATGATTCACAGGATATAATTTAATCCTGGTTTAAATTTATATTCTATTTTCTGTGTTCATTTTATGATTTGTTCTTTTAAAATGTCTTCTTGTAACTCTACATTGTCAAAAAACCTCAAAATATTAAAGGTAATAGTTATTATTTGGGTTCAAATGCCCTTGAATGCATTAAATATTAATGTACAGAGGCAGACAGTCATGTTAGAGATTATATTTGCTGGGGGGGGGATATCAGTCTGACAAATGACTTTTATGCATAAAGCAGTTCTTGTAACTTACGATCTTTTTATTTTCTTTTGCAGGTCAGAAACAAAGTTTGACTCCAATTCAGGTATGTTTAGATTTATAGTGTTTTGCTGAATGTACACTATTCAGGTTAATCTCAAAAGAGTAGTTTATCAGTTCAAGTTCAGTTTAGTTTTAAACAAACTGGGGTAGGTCAGTCTTAAAAAGGATCTTCATTTCTCACCCTCTGAAAACAGCATTATTACTGTGAAGCATTTGCTCTCCTTCCTGTCATTAGTTCCTGTCTCTTTACATTTTCCCAAAAGATGATCAGGAAGATGTATATTGCGACAGGCTTTAGTTGATCTAAAAATATTATAGTACAAATAAATGATAATACAAACTGAAGCAAATGGAGGATTGAAGTGAAGTTTGAGAATGATCACTGCTGTAAAGGAGAATGTTTTTCTTCCTAGTGGACAAAGACATTTCATGGGAATTTGAAGTCAGTGCAGCCTATCTGTCAGGAAACAGATGATTTGTCATCAAATTTTCGTGACAGATGCATGTACACAACGCATGCCAGACCAGTCTGTAGGGCTCACTTTAGGAGGTTTACCAAAAGGCAGTCTCCCTCAAGATGTCTTTTTAAAGAATTTTAATGTGTTATAGGGTTTGGGAGGGAAGCGAAGGTCAGTCTAACAGGTTAATGTGTATCTAACGACAAAAAACCCACGACAGCAAACAGCAGAACAGTTGGGGAAAAAACAGAGATCCTAATACCAGACTGTTGTTTATTCAGTTAACTATTCCTGGGTGTTCCTTAAAGTCAAACAATAGTAAATTAAGTCTGTTGTCCTGAAACTAGCTGAAATGCCCATTGCCTGAAAAGGTCATTCAAAATATATTTTTGCTAAGATGAAAAAGACTGTTTTAAGCAGAAAACCTGGTATTATTATGGCAATTTTGTATTTAGGCCAATGTTATCTTCTGTATGGTTTGCTTAATGAAGTGATTATAATTGCTTATAATGATATGAATTTTACAATATATATTAATCAGTATTCATGGAATAGCATGTTTCCTTTTATCCCAGTTACAACATGATTTGGGTCTGAAATGTGAGGTATTACGTTGCTTTTTCTTTCCACATTAGATTTTATCTTTGGAACTATATGGGAGTGAAATCTACAGCAGGAAGCATTTATATAGCCAAATCCTACATCTTGTATACTTGAGTCATCTTGCTTCTATTACGATTTTAGTCTGTGACTTTGAGGTTACTTGCTTTAAATATTGTTTGAATGAACTCTGTGCTAAGATTGTTTCTTGGATCCTGACAAAACATTTTTACATGGGGGGAAAAGCTTCACCCATTGTCTGCCATTTCCCCCTTTCTTTTAGTAAAGTGACCAAAACTAGGGTGTGGAGCAGAATGTCTCACTTTTCTCTTGAAGGGAGAATGCTCTCTGCACAACTTTGATTTGCTTGGTGGATTAAGCTACGAATGGTTTTCTGACTTTCTCTTTTGAAGCAGCTCTCCTGTTAGGAGCGCTATTCTGCGTGCCGCTCCCCATGGCAGTGAAGGCAGGGGTATGGTATTTCCTAGGGAGCACAGAGTAGTTAGAGAAGTTTGGCATTATCACAGCTATGGCGAACATCTGCTCAGTGGGTGGCACCAGGCCTCTGTAATTGGACTCTGTAGGGGGAGCATGAGCTTTTAAATGTCTCCTGTTCATCTGTGTGCCCTCCACAGGCTTGCTTTCCTTGAGCTTGGGTCCATGTTCTGGGCACTTGTCTCTTGTTTCTCACACAGGGGTGTTGGAAAGCCTGGTTGCCCAAAGACCGGAGGACTCAAGTTGCTCTCCTTGCCCTGCTCTTCTGAAGACACTCCTCAGGCTTTATTCTTACAAGGCCAGAGCTCTGGCCTTGTGAACATTTGTTGCAGTTTTATCTCCCCAAAAGCACAGAGCACACAAAGGTTGCAAAAGGATTTGGAAGTAAAGACCATTTAAGGGAGACCACACGAAAAATACATAAATGTAAATGAGCAGTAAAAGACTTAAGATCTTCTCTGTCTCCACTTTTGCTGTACCTAAACATTCTCTGGACGTACACCAGAATTCTCTGCAGCAGGTGATTAATGTTATTTTGCTGAGTGTCAGCATCAGCAGGTAGCATGAATGTCAAAGTGGTTTGTATACCACCAGGGATACATTATGGGAAAATCTGGGACTAAGGACTTTCTTAGATTTATTCCTCCTTTTTCTGCAGAGCCTCACTTTCATCTTCTGCTTGTGATCCCTTTCCCCTAAATCTGTGGGGAAGTCTTTAGTGGGAATGGTTTCAGGCTTCCCTGTCATGGGACCCTGGTCACCCCCAAGGTGATCACCTGGTGATCTACTGTGGCTTGCCAATGTGCATGGCTGGCCAGGTGTCGTTTTATTCTTTGTGCCAAATGCTGTATTTGGAACTGAGAGTTACTGAGGTTTAACACCTCAGTCTCATCAGTGCTGCCTCTTTTAGGTTTCAAGTTAGAACCAAGGGTAGATGTTAAAAGATAGTAGAAAAAACAGATTTAAGCACACAATTGAAATGGCATTTTAAGAGAAAAGAAATCACAGAAGCTTCATAACCTCAAAGCGCATTTCGTGGCCTGCGACACCAAGGCTGAAAAAAAAGCCTTATCTTTGTGAAAAGTACAGCAGCCTTCCCTTTATAGGGGCAGTACTCAGCACTTCCACCAAGAAGCTTTTCTTAATAGTCAGATAGTGCAAGCACTTAGAGTTTACCTTTTGTTCCCAATATGTGAGAGTAGAGAAGAAGTGGAGATCAAGTCAACATGTATCATCCAAATAAAACATCACTGGTTTTGTTTCCCCCTCCGAAGAGTTTGCCATCTCTTTCCAAAACCGGACAATAAGCCCAGACCTCCTACTGCCTCTGAGTGAACAGGAGGGTGTAGGCAGGGAGTGGAAGGATGCATTGGTGATGGCAGAGAGGCATCCTTGTAAAAAAAATCTTTCTCTACTATGGGGCGGTGCAGTGCCCTATGTATCACCATGTTCTGCATAACACGGGCCTTTGAAGTGTGTAAAAGTAGTGCTGGTTTTAAAAGGGCTGCTGACATTTGCCACCAATGACTCTATATTATACCTTGAGTTCCTTGGAGACACCTTAAGGTATTTTCAAATCCGTCATTTCATCTTGAATTCCCCAGACTGTGATTAATGAGTAAACCAATGATCCTGCAAACTGGAACAAACATGTTGTGTTCTCGTTTATCTCATGTTACTCAAAAGAGTTCAAGTGTCGAACGTGAGAATGAGGTAAGTTTATTCTAGAATGAGTGTTTTATTCCGGGGAGCTGTTCTACAACCTGTCACATGCTCTAAATTAACCCTAACGTTAATTCCAGTTAACTTGCAAGTCTAGATGCACCCTTGGTAAGCATTTATCAATGCTTCTTGTACTTGACTTTCCTAGAAATATTTGTGAAGCATTGAAGAATTAAAAGAAGTCTTTCTGAAGCAAGTACAAAGTCTGGAATACAGCTTTGAAAGTGCCCAGTAGGCTTACTGTAAATGTAACCCTGGAAATGTTGTTCAACACTGAAATATTAGGCAAACGTTGTCAAAAGAAGATTAATTTGAACTTGAGCATTAACTTAAAAGAAGGCCGTAAAATTCCTATAGTGATGATCGGGATTTATCATATAAATAGCTATAACATCTGTAGGAGACACACATTCTTCATATCATGACTAACAGTTCCATCTGAGAAACTTCTTTTTCTCTGCTGATTCTATAAGTCTATAGCTGACAGAATTTCTGTCCCAGAGACCATGGGGTTAGCTTCATGCTGTTAGAAGATCTTAAGAAATGAAACAAGTTTGCTTTCCTGTCATAATATGATGAATTTCACTGGTACTGAAAATAGATTTTTTTCTAAAAAAGTACTTGAAAGCGAAAAAGGTTGTAGGATTGGGGTTTTTTCCTCAAAATTTGTTAGGAAACAAAGTAAACCACAAAAACCACAGCTGAAACAATTTTGTTCTAAGTATTAGTATGACACTTGGCAGCGTCTAAAATGCTTATTGTGCTTTGTGCTTGGTTAGGAGATTTTAGAATTTAAGAATGTCAGAATTATATTGGAATAATGAGTTAATGAAAGATTTTTTTCAATTTAGAGAAAAATAGGTCTTCAGCATGCTGTTCCATAGCAGGAAGAACTTGTAGGTCTCTAAAGCTGTTGCTGAACACTGTTCAGCGATAGAAAAAGCAAACAACTGTCTCAGCATGCCCACTGGTTACCAGGGAATGGTAATGGTGAGTTTCTTGCTGCCTGCTGGGAGGGCTGGAGTTTTCTTGGGGCATCTCCTGTAATATTTAGTGTATCCTGCATGTCACTGTGGAGGTGAGCCATATGAAACTCAAGTGATAGTGCTGGCAGTGAAATTGTGAAGGGGAAGAAATTTGAGTTTTGTTCTGTGTTAAAAAGAAAGGATAAATTCCTGGACACTACACGTGGCCTCCAGTGAGTCTCTTTTATATATGTGTCACTCAGACGGTGGAATGGAGGAAGTCAGAGAGAGCAGGGTGCAATAAAGTGACAGTTGGGGAAGTACGGTGCTGTAGAAATGCAAGGGCTTTAAGCTGTGTTCTTCATCATTCACTGTGCCAGCTTCCCGCTTCTCTCAAAAAAAGACATGCATCTCCAAAACCCATTCTTCCATCTCCCTGCTTCTGTACAGATCAAATGAAAGGTAGAGATTAGCTGTGTGGCTTTATGTCGCTGTTTGCGTTGATACTTTGGAAACATTCCAATTAGTATCAAGAATTAAGCTGTAGTAGCTGCCCATGCAGCTAGAGACTGTCCTGGGGGACAGCTACACATGAGCATTTGTTGGATCCCTGCTGCCCCAGCAGTCAAATACAAAGCAAGTCAAGGAGCCCCTGACAGCTCCTGGAATTTCCTTTGTCTGCCTTGTCTGGACTCACAGTGTCAGCCAGTGACTCCGCAGGTCATTTCTTCTCTCTACACATTGCTTTTTCCACCAGAATGTGTGTATCCCCATGTCTTCAGCACTGCACAATGCTGACACCT